CTCTCTCTCTCTCTCTCTCTCTCTCTCTCTCTGTGCAACGAGACTCGTCTCATTCACACTTTTCATGCATGTAAATAGCAGCGCAACAAACTGGCGACATAGTGTGCGTGTTTGTGTGTTACAATCAATCAATCAATCAATCAATCAACCAATCAATCAATCAATCAATCAATCAATCAACCAATCAATCAATCAATCAATCAATCAATCAATCAATGTATTAATCACACTGACATTCAAGTAGTCAAAGCCAGAGCAGATAGCATAATGGAACCGAGTAGCCATCCATTTGAGAACAATACAGCATAATCGTGAGTCAATGTCCAAGTCAATGTCCAAGCCCTATCGGGTAACACCAACAACATAACCCAATGTTGCTCTCTCTCTCTCTCTCTTGAATGACGCCTGACGCCCTATGTACTCTACGGCCTAATCTTGCAACTACACAATGGAACCAACCAGAGAACTTGACGACCATCGAGTGATGACGTCAACACCAATGCCTCTCTCTCTCTCTCTCTCTCTCTCTCTCTCTCTCTCTCAAAAAAAAAAAAAAAAAAAAAAAACTAATAATCAATCAACCAATCAATCAATCAACACACCACGTGGTCGACGTACTGATCGCCAAGAAAGTGTTTGTGGATGAGAAGGATATGCTTCTGAGAGAGACAGTCATAGAGCAACATGGTTGACAGTGCTGTGTTCTGTGAATTGCAGCTATATGCAGTCCAACTACGTGACAAGCGAATATGCGGTGCGCGTCAATGATAACCCAATTCTACCATTCCACGAAACTACAAAGCGGCAAGATTGTGTTTTATTACCAGTCTGGCAACCCCGTTACAGATCATGTCGATGAGGCTGCTGGTTACCGAAATAGGGACGAGATGGAGGACCTTCATTTTATTGTATGCGTGGAGGAGGATCGAGTGGTCAGACTAACAACAGATACTTATATTCGTTGTCACGCCATTGAACCAAATTCGGGGACTTATGTCTAAGCCGAATCGATCCTACTTCACTAACAAAATCCTGAAGTCCATGAAAGGTGATCAAATGTATGATATCGTTTGGCCCCTTCTGCATCGAATACTCTCGACTCATTACGACACTGTTAGTCGGGCCGAATTATGGCGCCTTGTAGTGAGTGGACCCTTTTTTGTGCGTAATGGCGAGGATTTCTCTGGGATGTTTTATCCTTGATGTGAGATCCGGTGTTGACGAGCATGCGTTTATTGTTAATTTTTATTTTCTCCTATATGTTCGTTTTTCATTTCGAGCGCGAGCGACGGTTCCATTATTGTACAGCCATGCAAAACAGATAACGTCGACAACACACAACGCCCAATCAATGATTGATTGCTTTATTGCTTTGTTTATTTATTGATCGTATGATATCACTATTATTTTTTGTTATTTTGTTTTTTATTTTATGGGAAAGTCACACCGTACTTATAATTTATGTGAATCACACAACATTAATGTCACGCCCAACACTTGTCATATTACACCGTCATATTTTGATTAGTTCGGTCACTCTTTGAACGAATCGTTCATGCTTAAATATTATTTGTTCATCATGCGATCATTTAATCGATTATTCATTCAATAGATAAGTCCGTCAACCAGTCAATCAATCAATCAATCAGTCAATCAATCATTCAATCAATCAAACAATCAATCAATCAACCAATCAATCAATCAATCATCATATATATGCCCTGCATATTGTAATGAAGGAAAATATTCTGAAATCGTATTGATAAAATTCCAAAGAACGTACGCACAACACGGAGAAGTTGTCTGGTCACTAAAACATTCCTATTCACAAACCCACACACACGTTGGCTCGCGATGTGCAGAAGTCTATAACAATGAAATCTGCAGAAGACAACACCGCGGACCGCAACATTCGGGGGAGGATGACAGTTGTCAACGATAGTTTGCGCTGTCTCAACGAATCTACGGAGGCAGTTGCTGCAAGTGTGTGTGATGTCGATGCCGCTGTCGCTCGACTGCGAAACGCTGACACCTGTGAAAAAAATGACGAAAAAAAAAAGCGTTGCTCCCGTCTTCCGGTTTCATGGAGCGCACGCGAGCTCGTAGGCCAAACTACAAAGGGATAATGATATACGACCATGAGTACGGAGAGGGTTTGTCACGCGATGTGAACAACGGTCGGAAAGACAAAGAAACTAGTCAGCAAAGGATACCGAAAAAAGAAAAGCAGGGAATTGCAGTACATCTGGAAAGCCACCACAACCCAAATGCATTTGGAATTGCAGGAAGAAAAAAGACAGAGAGTTGCTAAAGGGACATGAATGCTTCGAGTGCAAACGTTTTCGTGACGCGGTTGGTGTGCACGGAAAATAACGACATGAAATTGTCGTTTCGATACAAGGAGAACCAACATAGACCGTTGACACCGCCTAGTTTTTGGAACATAGGCTTCTCTGATTCATAAAAGAAGGATGTTTGAGAGAGAGAGAGAGAGAGAGAGAGATGTAACGCATAACATTGTGTCACGTGCTGTATTTCATTCGTGCAGCCACTACAAGGTCTCGTTGCGGTGTCGTTATTATTCGAGTTCATCTTGTGCGCAAACGTCGAAAGACAAACTACTGAGCGACGTAAGACTCACAATTAAAGATGTGGTAAACACTCTTGAAGTGGCTACGAAACGCTTGCATGCAGCCGAGGAAGTCCTTCAGAGCACGACTGCTGATTTGCATACTATGCGACAAGAAATTGACTTGCACGAATGGCGTGTGAATGCTAGGGAAAATGAACTTCTGCATTACAGAACACAGGCTGCTAATGCAAATCAGCCATGTGCTGATGGTTCTCATATGAAGAAGATGATG